TATGGCAGCAATACTCCATTTTTGGTCAGATCTGACTCATTTAAAAGGCAATCATGGCAGGAGTTAGACTTCTGGATTAAAATTTTTTTTTTTCATTCTTTCACATTCACTGCCAAATAAGAGGGTCAAAAGTCCATCCTCTTCATTCAGATTATAAAGATGCTCTTTCTTTAAAAAGGGGAAATAGAGCCTTGCTTACTGTGATGTTCCTTGTAGGAAATCATGCCAGATCAAGCAATCTTCCCCTACAAAATGGGGACACAGGTTTGATCTCTGTGGAAGAACACATTTTCTTTTCTAAGATTTCTTGAATGTGCAGGCCGAGAGATGTAATCCACACAATTTAATAAATAAAAAAGGGACATCTAAAATTTAAATGCAATGTCATTTGTTATCTTGTCTTCTTAATTCTTGTTGTTTTATTGTATTTCTCCTTAACAGGAAATTTTTCTCATGTTTTCTAACACTCAGCAACACCGTGCACCTTGGTGGCTTTATTGCCTTGCTTAAGGTGAATGTTTAAAAAAAAAACTATTTCAAATACAAAATGTCCACTCTAATGTTTGAAGTAATATAAAGGTCAGATATAAAATAAAATGTGTGTGTATATATATATATATATATATATATATATATATATATATATGTGTGTGTGTGTATATATATATATATATATATATATATATATATATATATATATATATGTGTGTGAAATGTGTGTGTATATATATATATATATATATATATATATATATATATATATGTGTGTGTATATATATATATATATATATATATGTGTGTGAAAATATATATATATATATATATATATATATATATATATATGTGTGGAATGTGTATATATATATATATATATATATGTATGTGGAATGTGTGTATATATATATATATATATATGGGAATGTGTGTATATATATATGTGTGTGTGTGTGGAATGTATATATATATATATATATATATATATATATATATGTGGAATGTGTATATATATATATATATATATATATATATATATATGTGTGAAATGTGTGTATTTATTTATTTTAAGTAAGTTCTTTTCATATTGTCTGATAAGCTTAATAACATTATCATTGAAATTTTTCATGCAACAAAAGCAGACTATCATTATTGTTTCGTCCGTGTATTGTTTGATATATTGAAATGTAAATGCCATCTTTGATAATGCCTTATGTAAGCCGAAAGCTTAGGTTGGATTTAAACTGGTATCAATATGGTGATTTCGTTTTTCAATGATAATGTTATTAAGCTTCTCAGACAATATGAAAGGAACTTACTTAAAATAAATAGACAAAACTTGTCTACATTATTTAATGAAACATGCATTAATTATATATATATATATATATATATATATATATATATATATATATATTATACACACACACCAAATATTGATTGGAATCCAACAGAGTAATAAGAACAAATAGAAAACATTTATCAATCTGACATTTTTCACTTTCATTAATTTTTTTTTTAATTACCTTATGATGAAGCTTTAATAAAAGTGAAACATGTTAAATTGATAAACATTTCCTATTTGTTCTTTATCTTATATATATATATAAAATTATTTTTTAAATATATGATTCCTTCGCTACATAAGAGTTCTCATGTTTCAAAAACAAGAGCCAAAAACTTCAAAATAATTATTAAAATTCAATTGAATTAAAGTATCAAGCTCTGTTTCATCTTCATGCAAAATTTTTGGAATAACTAATCTTGAAATTTCTGTGTCTTTATAAGCATATTCAATCGTAAAATTAATTACTACAGAAATGGCTAGAGCAATTGTTTAAATAAGGGGTGTAAGGGTTAACAATGTGTATCAACATACCAGTTACTTTCGGAAAGAGGTCAAGTCAAGGTAGGGTCTGGAGTGTCTAATTTAAAGTGAATGATGGCATTCATATGCAAACCGTCTAATCTGCTTTAGCTACAGAATAAGTGGCGTTATTCTTTTACCATTAAGTGTCTATGGGGATTTTTTTTTTTTTTTAAAGAGTTGTTTGTATGTAAAAGCATTGTATTGAACTAAAATTTGTTTTTTTTGACGACTTCATAAAGGGAATTTTTTATGATTGGGCTAACCTATTAAATCTTACTTAGACTATGGAATTTTTGATTTTTATTTATTTATTTATTGATTTTTTTTAAGCTAATTATTTAATGCAAAAATTTGTTGATGTTGGCACTGTTTTTTAAAAATAAAAAAAAAATACTAAGGAACTTCAGATTATTTACCTAATGAGTTCTTTCCTATTTTTTTATATATATATATATATATATAAGAAAAATATACAGAAAAAACAAACAAAAATCTTAATATGCAATTATGCTGTATTAATGTTAATATAAAGTCAACGTTGGACGTTTCGATCTATTTTAGACCATCTTCAGGACATGTTCATTAAACATAATTAACATTAGAACATATAAAAATTCAACATGAAAAGACGATGGG